TAGCTTGTGTGATTAGTATAATTAATTATAGATTAGTAATTTGATAAAAAAAACAAGTCTATTTTTAAGGATAAAATGCAAGTTCTTCAAAATCTAGTTTTTCGAAAGATATTAGGAGTTTTCAAAACTATTTCAATTCTTTCAATAGAAATCGAATCGGAATTAAAACTAGCAAATATTCGATTAGATTTAAATATCAAGTAATATACTTTTTGATTAATAAAAACTCTTATTCAAATATTCAATTAATATCAAAAAGCTATTTTAGTATATTAATATATTAATCGAAAAACAATCAATACTTTTTAAAGAAAACTATATAAGTCAATTCAATTTAATAGAATTAGAGAATCAATTAATAAAAAATTTAATTCATTCTCTTTTGAAAAGATTATTCATTTTCACTTCTCTTTATGGAAAAAGGAAATCCCTTTTAAAGTTAATATTAGTCAGGCTTTAAAAGGAAATGCAGTAATACTTTACAATATTATTCTTAAATACAGAGATCAAAATACTATTTATATTTATATAAATATCTTTTCTACTAAAAAGGGAATAGGTATTGGTATAAGGATAATATCAATATAATCGAATAATCAGATTTCATATTAAGAACAAATCAATATTGAAAGCAATCAACTAGTCTATAATAAAGAGCTATATAAAGTCACCCAAACCATCGAATATACTAGCTCAATCACTAATAATAAAAAGAAGTTCAAGGTCTATTTAGATAATCAAGTAGACCTTCTTCGATTGAAAACACTCTCAGACTACTCAAAACAAGCATACCAAATTCAAGCAATCAAGACAGCCGAAGTCATTATAGCTAAAGAATCTAAAATATTCTTGAATTGGATATCAGGGCATATATCAGTTAAAAAAACGAGCTAGCAAATAAGCTAGCAAAAAAGACTACTATAATACAATCCACCTCGAATGAAACCAGTTTTGGATTGCTAGGAATAATAATCAAAGAATCCTCTCTCGATCAATGGAATTCAACTCTCAATCAATATAAACTCAGATTCAATCAATCAGCATTAACCTATTCAAAGCTATTTCCATAGAAAATCGGATCGAAAATTAAGCTACCAATTAGAACCAATCGAAATACTACTAATACACTCTTCCAATTGAAATTAGATTACGGATATATCAAATCATATCTATATCAATTCAATTATTCTAATAATAAATATATATACAATAATATTAAAACACTACAATATCTCCTGATTAGCTGTTCTATATATAAAATAGAAAGAAAAGAGATATTCCAGAATATATCATTATCGAAAATCACTATACAATTTCTATTATATATCAAAATAGATATCGAATTAGCTATTAAATTTATTAATATCACCAAATCGCTACAAGGGCATAAACATCTAGTAAGGACTCTTGAACAAGAAGTAATAGAGAAAGGAGTAGTAGTGGAAGAGGAGAAAGGAGAAGAGAATGAAGAAGAAGCAATTGAGGAAATAAGAGGGGGGCTTGACCTCTTCACAATTTCTTGATCGTCAGAATTTTCTTATTATATGTAATGTGTATAATGAGCAGGCATTGTTCCCCAGTATTTGTTTTCATTTTCCTAATAAGATTATAACTAATATTGTAAATCAAAAAGTTACCTGTTGGGCCCATTGGGCCCAGCCGTCCTATATAGTCTTAGACTGAAGGTGGACGTAAATTCAATCAATCAATCAATCAATCAATCAATAACCTGAAAATACTTGTTTCTAGTAATTCGATATTCTTCTTTGAGGCTTGAATTCTCTAGATCCAATTCAATTGATTGTTTTACTTTTTCTAACTCTTTTCGAAAATCTATTAATTCGGGGATTCATCATAACTTCGCTTTTCTAGTTAATGAAATTTTAAATATAGAATTTTCAATAGCTTTTTGAATAATTCTTATAAGTTTGCTTGTTGTTTGATCTAGATTAGAATAATTATTTCTTTTTTTAAATTGTTTAATAAATCTTTTTCAAATAAAATTATTGATATTAAAGTAAAGAAAATAAAAGAATATAATAATTCTGATTTCAATATTGATTCGAATTTATCCCAATTAACTAACTTTGTATTATATCTAACTAATAATATTGTATTAAGGGGACTTATTTTTTTTCTCTTTAACTCAAATAATATTTCTATATAATCAGATTTTGTATTTAAAAGTGTTTATCAGTTTTGGATTTGAAAGGCGATTTCTTTTGAGGTTAATATAAGATCAATAATATTTGAATTGAGAAGATTGATATAATAAAAGATATTGAAATCAGATTCATTAAAAGAATAAAATTCTGATTTTCAAATTATTCAATTAATTGATTAGTATTTCTATTTTTCTTTAAAAAAGGATTCTATTATAAATAATAAGAATTGAAATTGTTTAAAAGAATAGTTTTTTGTATAATCATTAAATTATATAAACATTTTTTAATTATAAATTCTTTTCTTTAGTTTAATCAACTTTATTATAAATATTAACTATTTGAAAGGTTTATTTCCATTTCGATAATCAAAGATCTGAATATCAAAATCTTTTGAAGAATTGAAAGAAAGATTGATTATAAATTGAAGAGTTTTTTGAAATGTATAATAATATTCGTAATTGGTATTTGAAATCGAATCTCGAAAATGTTTGTATGAAATTAAAGTATATAATTGATTTTATATTTAAATAATTATTTCCATTTTAATAATCCAAAATTCTTAAATAATAATAAAATCGATATTAAGTTTTATTATAAGCTATAAAACATTCTTTATAGCTTATAACTTCAATTAAGATTTATTTGAATGATTCGAATATTAATATAATTCATTAATAAATATTATTCGATTTTTATTGAATAATCTAATAGGTTTTGCATATTTTTGAATTTGCTATATAATTCCTTTAATAGTTTAAGTATTTTGCTATTAAGTATTAATAGAACTTTTCTTTGATATTATATATTATATACAAATATACTAATGTAATATACTTGCCTCCATATAAATCACAAAAAGGGTTTTTTTATAATAAATATCTTGATATCCAAATCCTTAATACTTTTGATATTATATAGTTGATTTTGATTTATAAAAGTTTTCTATTTTTATACTATTTCTAGTAATATATAATCACTTTCGAATAGCTAATTCTGCTTTTGATTTTGTAGTAAAAACAATAATTATAGCTTTTTCTTATTGATAAACTCTTTTAGAAATTGATATAAATCAAAAAAGAATTTCGATTGGTTTGAAATCTGAATTAAAGGTTTTGATTTCCTTTAAAATAAGATCTATTCTTTTTGATTCTGAGAATTCTTTTATTAGGATTTTGTGAATAATAACTTTATATCATTCTTAATCCTTTTGAATTCTCTCGAATTTAATAATATTATTCTAAATAGTTTTTTTTTCTAAAAGGAATTATAATATAAAGGGATTGTTTACTATAATAATAATATTATTATTAAAGAATAAAATAATTATTATAATAACTAATCCTTTAATTCTATTCTTTTAAAAGACTTCATTTATTTTGTTTCGAATAATTAAAAAGAAAAAGGAAGTAGAGTTTGGAATTTCTGGTTTGATTAGGATTAAATGTTTTTAAGTAATTTCAATCTTTTTGTTTATTGGAATAAGCTTAATAGCTTTTCCTTTATTAATTAGATTTCATTCTCCTTTTTTTGCTATAATTATAAAAGTTGATTTAATTGATATTGTAGTAATTAGAATTGGATTTTTAACTAGTATTTTAACTTGAAATTCGATTTTCTATATAGCTAATTCGAGATAAGTGATTTGGGATATAATAATATTAGAGACTATAATAAGCTTTCCTTTTTTGGTATATTTTTTAAAGATCTTTAAAAGATCTAATAGCTTTAATTGCTTATTATATAATTAAAAAAGAATTGAAACTAATATTATAAGATCTTTTACTTTTAGAATCGCTTTCTTTAATATAATTATCTTATTTTGTATTCTAGATTGTTTATTCTAATTACTAAGGGGTATTGTGGGGCATCGTTTCTTATTCTGATTAAATATATAGGTAGTATTGGTTGTATTTTGAGTAATAAAGGGGTTACTAAGTAGATTAAACTCTTTAACTTTTCTTTCAGAATTAATTGGCTGATTGGTTGATAGAATAGGGCTAGAGATTTTGAATTAAGAGTTTTCAGAAGGCGAGGGAGGGTTTGAAGGTATTGGGGTATTTAGAATAACAATAGGATAAGTGTTTGGTATAATGAAGGCTTTAGAAGGAGTCTTTATTATAACTGTATTCTTAAGTGTTAATAGATTATTAAGAGAATTCATATTAAGAATCTTATTCTTATTCTGGTAATTCAAAATAAGAAATTTTACACGAATTTTCGTATATATTTCGTATTCGAAATGCCAACAACAATAGTACAATAACTATTAATCAGAATCATTGGGGAGCAATTACAATCAATTTGGTTTAATAATTATAATCTAAATCGATCGCGAACAGATCGTATTTCGAAGAAAAAGTTTCCTTCGAAATTTGTTGTGTGATCTTGATCTTGGCGTTCGGTCATGATAGTTCAATCCCCTTAATTTTCGCTTATCTTCTCGATAACATGATGGATATTAGTTTTTCGGGATTATCAGATACAAATTTGAAGGTTTTCGGCTCCTAGGCTCAGCAAGTCGTTTGGGTGACAATGGTGTTGTAGGGATTCTCCGAACGCGATTCTCCGACGTCGATCCTTCGATAAGCGATAAGAATAGCCTCTCCTAAGATCGCATTCTTCCGATGCTGGAAGCTAGCAAAGGGAGATGTATTCAATTTCACGAAATTGATAAAGTCGCCTATGAAATGAAGATATTTAAAAGTTTGAATAAAGATTCTATAAGATTACATTTCATTCCAACTTCTTATCGACGCCGAAAATTTCAAATTCCATTCCTGGATAAAAATACTTCGAAAAATTCGAAAATTCCCTTGAACCTCAACGCAACAAATCATGCAACCTTTTCATCTTACTGCCACTGGTTATAATCTCAATTATCTCCCTGAGTATATCGCCTTACGGCATGGTTTCTTTAAAGAGCAAGGACTTGACGTCACTGTAAACATACCTACGCCTTGGGATGGTGTCCTTGACGCTCTCGCTGATGGCACAGCCGACATGGCTCTTGGTGGCATCTGGGTACCATCAATGTACCGTGACAGAGTTAAGGACTACACTGTATTCGCACAGATTGCAAATCGATGTCCTTTAGCCATACTCAGGCGTGGCCATAACGAAGGATTTAAACTATCTGATATGGTTGGGAGCACGGTTCTGATGAAATCCGGCGGTGGAGCTAGCGTTGGCCTTTTCTTCAAGATGTTATTGCGCGAAAACAATATCGATCATAATTCTCTTGACTATATTCAAGATCTTGATGGTATAATGCTGGGCAATTTATTTCAGGGTGGTATGGGTGATTATTTCATAACAGACAATCTTTCGGCGCGGGTTATGGTTGAACAAAACAAAAATATCTCCATCGCGATGGAAATGGTATCTCAGAAAGATGTTCCTTGGAGCGTGTATTATCGGGAGACTGAAGGAATCACGCCGGAGGTTCTGGATGCACAAAAGCGTTTTTGTGTTGGTCTAGCTAAAGGTATTGATTGGGTACTCGAGCATGATGCAGAGACGTTCAAAGATGAGCTCTCTGAGCTCTTTCCTTCGACACCTATCAATTCTGTTGTTAGTGTGACGAACTCTTTCCGGAAAAATGGAATGTGGACTTCCACCGAGATACCCCGTGAAGGATATAAGAGGTGGCAGATTGGACTTGCTGGTCACCGTCTGATTAAGGAACCGTTTCCTTATGAAGTCGTTGTTGACAATGGACCAGCATCTGCGGCGCAAAAATTACGGGTTGAAAAATAGAGTTTTTTTCTTGTGATTATCACAATTTGGATGTTCGCCTGTAAAAAGCGCTGGATCTCCGATCATTGTTCACTGTAAATATTTCAAAACAAGAATTTGAGTTGTTAAACTTTGCTTCCGAGCGACTGAGAGCAATGGGGGATTATAGCAGTCATTGGTGTATTCTGATTGTTCATATCTAATATACCACGCCGATTCCTTGTAGAAGTTCAAACGTCTAAGTTCAGTGAAGTACCTTAGTGTAGTGTGGATTACAAGAGAAAATCTCTGGTTTCGGTTCAATCAACCACTAACTTCGTACTTCAGCCCGATACTCTAGATCATGTTATTTTTGTATCAACTAAATTGATCCATCTCAATGATCACACCGCAAAACTGATTCACTATGTCTCTTCGAAGTAGATATCGTCAAAGAAATTGGATCTCAATAATGACATTGGAATGATCAATGACCACGAATCAAAATAGGTTGTTTCACGAATGAGTACACACACGATTTCAAACTAGCGCACACGTATCGCATTTAGCGTTTGTTGCTCTAAATTCAGGATGGACATAAACAACCAATATGACCACATACATAACATAAGGAAATCACACTACTGTCGAGTTGATGTGAACAAAACTGACTTGTAACCAATTATTTTGCTGAGAGTAATAAGCCGAGAAGGCACGAAATAAATAGCTTATTAGCAAAAAAAATTATTTGAATATAAAGTTTTCATTCGTTGTTTGACCTGGGTCTTGGTACCAAATTAATAGAAGAAATTACAATATTAATTCACGTCCCCATCATAGGGTCAAGTCCTATGTCTCCAAAATCCATATCCTGTAGATCAGGCCACTGCGCAGCAAAGCTGAGCATCTCACTAAAGGCAAAGTTGTCCGCCGATAACAGCGTGGATGTATTGTCACCGCTGATTTCATTCGTAGTAGCGATACCACGAGAAGACGGTTGTAGTTGTTGCACCAAATTTCTCATTTGTTTTTCAAATTCAATGCGATTTTGATACACATCTTCGGCGTTGTTGGCCACTAAGAAGTCGACCGTTGTTGAAGAGAGGGTATCAAACACATCACGACAGCCTGCTGCACCAGGAAAGTTTTCCGACATGGCAGAGAGTGTAGAGGCACAGGACTGAAGTGTTGAAATGTTCTTGCTTACAGAATTTCGATTGCGTATTTCTTTCGAGTGCCAGAGTCCATATATAACTCCGAGACCAGCCATGAAGAGATGATGTACTGATTTCCATAGTACATCAATTTTCCCATCTCGCTGCAAGATTTTGATACTTGCGATCAGTTTACAGGAGGCTTCAAATGACATTACCAGTTCTTCACTTGAAACCTGTATAACTATGGATGCAGGCCTATACAACAGAAGGATTGCATTATTATAAATCACATCCCAGTATGCCTGATGAGCGAATATGGACGCTGGGTGAGCTTGACTAAGTCGTGGAATAGAAGTATACCATTGCTGTAGCCGAGGTTGAATGTCCTGGACCCAAGTTGAATAGTCAATTCTGGGAGAAGATATTTTAGGAGTCCAGGCTTGGGTGTGAAGCACATGCTTGATCTCGGACTCAAGTTTTGACATATTGAACATGTGGTTATGGGCTCGTTGAGTGTGAATGTCGAAATCGTAGAGCTCACGGGTAAGTGAGCCCCGTGAAACATTCCATGGATTCGGAAGGGGCACATTCGTACTTTCATCAATGATGCCCAAGGGCCGACCGAGCGTTATACATAGGACGCGATCAAATTGGTAAGTAGAATACCAAAGGCGCCGGCGTTCGTGTAACAAATCCGGATCCATTGTTGAGGACTGTTCCTCGGTCTCCCAATGTAAGCCTATATCGACACATAATCGTAGTGCAAAACCTGTTAGATGCCATAAGCTTCCATGAGAAGGGCAAAGAGAAACAAATTGAGCTAGCAATAATATGGCGCGAAGTGTCTCAAGATCATTCTTCGAATAAGCAATGATCTTTTCGATTGACCCAATTGCTGACCGGAAGCAACCCTCGCTTTGAGATGGGCGACCTCCGGACGGATTGGGAACATCACAAAGGGCAATGGCGAAGATCATGTAGGCCGTAAAGGTATCATTCTCAGTTATTTGACCGGAAGATTGTGGATCATTCCTGGAGCGATATGCACCCTCAACAGCTTTCTCAACTTGTGCCCGATTTACGATAGGCAGATGAGGAGTACGATATTGGAAATAGACTCCGACCAAATGATCGGCAGCGTGGCGTGGGGGAAGAGAAGCCTCGGCTGTTGGTACAGATGAGAATGGATCATAAGAATTTTGCTTGGAGGACAGAGAAGAAGGGAGGGAGTCGATTCGAATTGCCGCCATCACCATTCTGGCTAGCGTTATCCCACTGCTTTGTCCTAGAAACCGCGGTTGTCTTGAGGGTTCAACAACGACACTTCTCACACTTTTGACTAAATTCTGAAAATGATTTGTGCTTGCGTTCGACGTTACTGAACTTGCTGTAGGAAGGATACCAAGATCAATTCTTGTCGGGGAACATGGCTCGACAGGAGTGGGATTTTCGGTATTAACTGAAGCACTGTTTCCAATTTGCATGCGCAATTCTTCGTTTTGCTTTCGTAGCTCTCGATTTTCTCGAGTTGTGCTCTCCAACTGCGCCTCTAAATTGGCCACATAGTTGCGTGGTATCTTGATAAAGTTTGGAGATTAACGACGAAGGAATTTTGAATTGACATTATTAGCTCACCTCAGCTTGTTTGCCTGAGTGATAGGTTAAGCATGGGCTGCGTGCACTTTCGCAATTGGAGCAATTCGGACTCTTCAAATCACACTGTACATTTAATCCGATATCAGCGAGAAGAAGATCGGACTGGAACGAATTTGATAATTACTTTCTGCTTTCTCCGACGGCATCTATGCAGGTCAGCACTGAATTCTCGCTTTGCTATGCTATCTTTGTACTTGTAACCATTCCGACTCACCTCTGACATGCGGTCACTCCTTTGGCGAGCCTCTGAGTGGGGCGCGATGATGCTTGCATTGAGTATCTACCCTATTTTCGGGATTTGATTCGAGACAAAGGTGGAGATTTTGATGATCGATGATTTGTATCTTGATAGTTGAGGGGGGTCATGTAGAAGTTGGATGTAAAGACATTCGGTGCGGAGGTTGTGTAGATAAACTAAAGTCGCGATAAATTTTCGGAGCAATCCGATCTGTTCTTGATCGAGACCAATAACCCCCATTGTTGAAAATGCACAACGAATCTAGCAGTTCTAGTGCAAATGGTATTATCTGGAGTGCAGTGATTGGGTTACTCCGCAATACCATTCATTGGCCGGATAAAACCATCATCCTTATCGGTTTATCATAAGATACTCGATAAGTAACCTCTTATCAATGTTATCATGGAATTTTGAGATTGATTTGAATGTTGATGTTCGATGAATGAGATATCAAACTTCAAAATGTGAGAGATGGAAGATCTTCATGGGACTTCATGAAATATATATGTATATAAAGACGACTAAGTTGACGAAGTTCATTCCTCGTCTCGTAACATTGCAGCAGTTTTTAATTGGATTGTGAAATAATTATCCGAGTATTCACACAACCTTTTCAATGGAGTCCAGCCCAACAATGGCGAAGACAGATTCTCTCAAGGCAAACATCGACACTGACGTCAAACATGAAGTCGACGGTACCTGTGTCTCTGAGATGACAGGCACAATCCTAGAAATCGACCCAAGAAAAGAAGCAGCCGCACTCAGAAAATTCGACAAATATGTTCTCCCGGTTTCAGTGATATTTCTCGTCTTGTCCACTCTAGATCGAAACAATGTGAGTTGTATTGTTGATCCTCAAAACCAATCCTTCCTAAATTTCAATAGCTTGGAAATGCTAGAACTTTTGGGTTTGACGAGGACGTCGGACTCAAGGGCGGTCAATTTGGTAACATAACTACACTGTCGAGTGTCTGCACCATAATCTTTGAACTTCCTTGGGTTTTGGCCGTGAGGAGGTTTGGTGCTAATAAAGCAATCGGCACTGCATTCGTCCTCTGGAGTGCTTGTACACTTGGAACTGCGTTCATTCATACCTACGCTCAAGCCATCGTAGTTCGTATGATTTTGAATGCTGCCGAAGCTGGTCTTGCCCAAGGGTTTGCTTTCTTATTCTCTACTATCTACCCCAGAGAATTGGCAGGAAAGCGTATAATGACGACAAATGTTGCGCAATGCATATCCGGTGCTTTTGGGGGACTATTTGCATATGCTGTTCAGACTATGGGGACGCGGAGGGGCCTCGCAGCATGGAGGTGGCTATTCATTGTCGAGTTTTGTATCACAATACTTATTTGCGGCATCGGTTGGATATTTCTTCCAAATTCGGTTGAAACAGCTTGGTTCTTGAATGAAGAGGAGAAAGAAACCATGCGATTGAAGAAGATTCGAGACTTTGCAATCAGAGGTGAAGAAAAGTTCGACCGCAAATGGATCAAAATTGCTCTCACAGACCCTTTTGTCTATCTGCTTGGTATAGCTTTTTTCACTTCATCCGTGGCTATCAATGGATTCGGTGTCTTCTTACCTACTATTCTTTCTGGTCTTGGGTGAGTATTCATAATGAATAGAACCTTCCAGAATTTAGCTAATACAATTTAGATACAACTCGCTCGCGGCAAACTATATGACCATCCCAATTTATGTTGTTGGTCTTATTTCCCTAATCATCCAGGTCTACTTTTCGGATAAATACAAGAAGCGAGGAGTTTTTATCATTGCATGTTGTGTTCCAGTTGCAGCTGGATATCTCATATGCGTAGGGACGCCCAGTAATGGAGCTGGCTACGCTGGAATGTTCATTCTCGTGCTAGGTGAGCAATGATCATATTTTCTTTGCATATTGAAGCTAATAACAGATTTACAGGACTTTATCCTATATCTACGCTGGCTGTAACTTGGATTTCCACAAATTTGTCACCAGATGATAAACGTTCGATTGGAATGCCCATAGCATATTCCATTGCAAATGTATCTTCGCTAGTGTCGTCTCAGCTATACCCAACTCAACAAGGTCCACGATATATCGTTGGTAATTCAGTTTCAGCTGGTCTCACAGTTGTCGCTGGCTTCCTTTATGGTGCGTGTTGGTTCTTGCTTCGACGCAGAAATGCAAAGAAGGAGAAGCTTATCGCTGAGGGTGCCACAACAAATGGCTTGGAAGGTGACATGAGCCTCGATTCCATGTACATTCTGTAGAGTCGAGAGCAATCGAGAAAGTGATTGTTTTAGCAATAGATGATGAGGATAAATTGAGATTAATCTCTTAAAGAGTCAAAACCGTATACATCGAGAGTACTTAAAAATGGAACGGTGTGTGATGTGAGTTTAGCATATACGACGAGAGCTCTAAGCATGTCAAGAGTGAGTATGTAAAGTTTCACCTGATAGACTACCTACCCACCCATTCATCACTCGACGGGAAACCAAAAATGATAGATGGGCCGAGTTGCAAATCAATGATAAAGGGCTTCTTAACCGGCGCAATAGATTTGAACACCATGCACAAGTTCTATCTACTTGGCGGTCCGTTGAATGGGTGTTGGGCTGAAATAAGCGACACCTCGCCAAACCTTGTCATCATACGTTTTTGGACAAAAGGAGATGAGTTTTTGGAAATTAGGCTCAAAATAATTGTAAGTAAATGCTTTCTCTAATGAATCATTAATCTTGATACGATTTTGGATTCGGGTATGAATGCAAATGGAAATTTTTCGAAAACTAATTTTCAATTGGATATATCAATGCCGTAAGGAATGATCAGCAGATATATACATATTTAAATACAATAAGGTTGCAATGTCGCCAAGGAACTGATCAGAAAACAAAATATTCACATCTTCATGCTCCACGTCCTCCACCTTTCTCCCCCTTAATCCTCCACTCCACTCTTGATCTAAGCGTACTCCCAAGCGGAGGGGCCTTCACCGGTGTATGGGACAGTAGCAACAGAGATGCCGGTGCAGTTTTCAGTACCAGATCCACCAAGAGTAAGGAGGACAGCATAAACACCGTCACCCTCGCTGCAAGCAATAAATCCGTAGTCAGGGAAAGACAAAGATCCGAGGGAACCGTTCTCTCCGGCGGTGTAAGTCCATCCAGAGACGACTCCACCGTGGGTGTCGGCGGAGTGTGGTGGGGTGTAGGATACGGAATGATCAGTTGCGATGTAAACTTGTTGACCTCCTGGAACTTCAGTGTTCAAACCGAGAGTGTTGCCACCAGAGACGAAGGTTGTAGAAGTACCTTCTGTTAAATGGTTAATCATGGCCATTCATAAATCATGTCGTGGAATCAAACTTACCAGGGCAGCCTGAGCCGACGGATTCAGGGCAGTATGAGGAAGTTTCCTTTCCGATATAGAGACGACCTCCATTAGCGGTGATGGCTTGGTTTTGGAGATCAGTACCGGATCTGATGGCGATGAGGCCGAAAGCATCGCTTGCAGCACGTGCCGAAACGATGGGGGTTGCTGCAGCAGAGCTGGCGAGGAGGGTAGCGATGAAAGTCTTGGAGAACATGTTGATTATTGTTTAAGTTGGTATGGATTACTGTAAAGTGATGTTTGGATGTAAAGATGTGATGTGTTGATGATGGATTCCTATCGAGAACTTCTTCGACATTTATATATTCAGATCTTTCCCGATTCTCTCCTTTCATTCCATGAGAATCCATCGTTCAGCCATGACTTCATCCTTAATCGCCAACACACACTAAGATTGCCCGCAGCCCATTAAATCTGGAGAAAGTATGGATACTTTCTTGCACTTTCTCCAATTTGATTGCTGCGGAAGATTGCATCAACAATTCTCCTTTCTCCTTGCCTCACGATTCCGCAATGAGGCTTGAACAACTTCAACATGACTCCATAAATTGTTCGTATTGAAGACTTGGCATGGCTGTTGATATCCATCATCGAAATCAGAAACTAAGTTGCGACCCTGGTTTAAAGTGGATTTCTCCATAAAATTGCAGGCAATGAATGGACGAAAAAGAGGTTTAAACTTTACCCTTCAATCTCGGTCCGACGGCATTTTCATGGCCTATTAATAAAGTTTGATCGTTAGTATGTTTCCAGAAATATGGTAGATATAAAATGGATAAGCTCCAGAAAAGATGATATGATAATTCCCATACTCTTTTCACACAGCCACTTCTACATGAACAAGGTTAAAGCTCCGAGCTCTGCTGAAGAAAGTTGACAAATGCCAAGCACAAATTATCAGATGCCGAAAGCCTGAGTATGGCTTGTGCTCAGCGCTTCGGGGGGACCAAAGCATTAATTGACTGCCGATCAGTGACGACGATCGTCACTATTTGTTCGTATTCCGAAAATAGATCTCGGGTTGTATTATTCCATCATAAAATCATAATTCAATTGATGACTTGTAATTCGTGATCTAGCTATGCACAAAGGGTGCAAGGGTACGCACGAGTACTGGTGATAATAAGGGAAAGTGTCAGCAAGCACTAATAGAACTTTAGAAGAATCAATTCAGAGGGTCCATAATTTTTTGACTTTTCGACGGTCCCGACTCCCGAAAAGCTGACAAGGTGGCTTGTTTGTCGATCATGGCCGCATTCTCATGTTTGTTAGAGGCGAGCTCAACAAGCGCTTTGGACATTGGATGAGACAACAGAACTGCGACTTGGATTTTGACAGCGAAGAATCAGGAGATTCTCGTATTCTCAATTCTAACCAATATTTGACAAAGAATGTCTCTCGTGTTGTGTTTTTAGTACTAATTCGATATCATCTATGTCGGTGACTCGGTGTGTGTAACTGCAAAGTCACTGACGCAGGTGTAAGGAGATCAGAATTTCAAATAACAAACTGTTCGTGATCGAGGGAACTTGATAATTGTATCTGGGATCGTAACACGAAGTTTTCCCCGTATCCGTCTTCTGAGTTGTATCAAAGAGCTACAGTCTGACGTTTCCACTGAGAATGAACGATTGTGTTGGCTAAATCCCGTAT